GGATCTAGGAAACTATGTCAAATAGCGATGCACGAAAAGCACGATTCACCCGCAGATCCCTGGGGAGTCACACATCTCTGAGCAGTCCATTTCTAAAGATGTCCCCAAGCCTCCAGCGCAGGCCCGGGGCAGGAGCTGGAGCCCCGGCGCAGTGCGCAACCTGCCTCTGCAGTACAACAGCCGGCAGCTGTTCCCTGACAACACCCCGCTCCCCACGCCGCCCCGGAGCCAGCTGCTCCGGCCCGGCACAGCTGCCCCAGGCCCCGCCTGCTCCCGGCCGGGGGATCGGGGAGCTCCGAGCCGCCAGGCCGCTCCCGCCTCAGGCCGGGCCGGGGGGCGGTGACGGACACCCCGCCCCGCCGGGCCCCTGCGCCCTCCCCTGCCCCTGCCACCGCCCGCCCGGGGCCGGGTTACCTCGCAGGGCCCGGAGGAAGCGCGCCGCCGGCAGCAGCACATAGCAGAGCAGGGTGCCGATCATACCGCCCGGCACGGCACGGCACGGCACGGCCTCCACCGCCCTCGGCCCGGCCCCGGCGCCGCGCCGGCCCCGCCTCAGCTACGACCTCTCGGCGCGGGCTCCGCGGCCCCGGCGCGCACGGGCACTCACCGCGTCGAGCCGCGGGGCTGGCGGCCGCGTCGGGCCTGGCGCTCCTCCAGCGCCTCTCCGCACCGCCCGCTCCCGGGAGGCCGCGGCACGGGGTGGGACGTCCCCGCGGAGCGGCCCCGGCCGGGGTGGGGCCCCGCCCGTCCCGCTGTGAGGCAGGAGCGCGGCCGGAGCTCAGGGCCTGGCGGCTGTGCTGTCCCCGAGGGGTCAAGGAGCTGTGACCCTGGGCTGAGTGACGGCAGCCTTCTGGCTGCCTCACCCTAAAGTTTGTGGTTTCAAACAAAATTTTTCACCCCCTGTTCTGTAGAATTTCAAACAGGACAATTTCCAGTTTTCTTCCCCCTCTGGAAAACCACTGTTTGCTCCAGATGAGTTAATAATTACACAGGCTTTTCAAACACTGATGCATTCGGCGAGATGGCAGAGTGGGAGCGTGCCCTCCCTCGAGTGCTGCTGACAGGTCACCACTACAGCTCTGCAAAATCACTCCTCACCTGGAGGTGAGCACTCTGGCCTCTGCAAGTTGAGATCCATCACATGTTGCAAACAGGTAATTGCATATGAAAAGTGAAGTCCTAGTTGAAGTCCAGGACTTTCATGTTTGCTTCATGCCACAGTTAAATGTTTTCAGTATCTGAAGACAAACAGATCAAGCTGAGCACACTACAGCTTTTTACATGAAGTACCCCTTTCTAATGCGCATTCTCAGTAGCCTTCTTCCAAACTCTTCAAGATGAGTATCTGCAATAAAGTCAAGATTCATGTCATCCCTGCCTTTTGCACTGATGAGAGCTGCCAAACTGTTCCCTTGATGGTGATCAGCTGCTGTGTCACAGCACACTCAGGCAGGGGCGTCAATGTTAGACAAGACACTTGGTGATTAGCAGAATGACTGTCTAGGGCTAGGACCTGAGATGATGTTATAATGTACAAACATAATAGTCCTACCAGTTCTCCTTTTCAAATGCCCAGTTATAAAATATCACAGACCACAAATGCAGTGACTTATCTCAAATCCCACAAATGTCTCTGGCAAAGCACAGAACTGGACTGTGGTCTCCCACCTATTGCAGTAACCAAGCCATCATTGGTTTTCATTTCTAGTCAGAAAACGGAGGGTGTTCTCTAGAGGAAGTATCTGCAACATGAGGGGCTGATGATTGGGTCATTTAAAACTAGGCTGTTCTTTAAAAGCAAAGATCTAAGAAACCCACATCAGAGTAATCAGACTGAAATCAGAGAAGAATGTTAGCTGGTGCTATAAACAAGCAAGCAACTGTGGCCAAACAGCCGTAGTTGTTTGGCCTACACTAGAAAAAATATTTACAAACTTTGGCAATAAAATCAAAGCTGACAATGGTCATCTGCTTTAGGGTCAAATCTTCCACTGGGTTTTGTGGCATTTTGTTCTATATCCAAATATAACTCTACCACGGTCTGTAATGACTGGACTACTTAAGAGGTCTATGTAGAACCTAAGAACTAAGAACCTAAGAACTACTAAAATTACCTTATTTGGGGGGAAACAGACTTTTTCTTCTTCTCTGTTTTACATATTACACTGTGTAAGCTACATAAGTTTCAAAATCTGTACCAGAGATTATGGTCACTGAGCATTGCCCATAATGGAAATATTTCTAAGTGTATGAATTAGTTCTGTTCAACCTTTATCAGAAAGCGTCTTCTGTTACAGTTTAGGTTTTAGCCCCTTATGAAAAGTTACAAAGTCCTCAGTATAAAAGATGTAAAATAATAAGCACTGAACCAATTTTGGCACCAGCAATAGTTAGTGAGACAAATGAGCACTTGATCCAAGGCCCCATTAAGTGCTGACATGTTTACAAGCCACACTTTATTACTTAACTTACTGGGAATTTGGCAGTAGGGAAGTCTGAATCTGTTCAAGACTAAAAAAGTGAATACATTTCTGTCCTCGTCTGCTTTAAGACTGCAACTGCCACAGTCTGACTTTCCCATGAAATTGTACACACTGGAATATGAACTGAAAGGAGACAAGAACTCTTATCAGCAGCATGGCACAACTCTGATACATCTGTGGGGGTTTCCACAGCCAAAACCACAGCTGTTCTCAGATACTGGGAGCTGATTGGATCCCAGAGCGATGGGGTTTCCAACACCAAATGTCACCCTTAGGAATCAGAAGGTGCTGGTGGCACAGAAGAGTGGTGATAGCATGGTGGGGCAACCACAGGCTTTGCTGGGGTTTCTCATAACGCCAAGACAGTCCCTGCAAACCAGAAATGGGATTCTCCTATTTAGAAGCAGTAGAAATCAAGAATATAGATCTTACAAGTGGCACCATTTTTCCTGGAGATGTTTTAATCAAAACCAAGCAGCTGTGCTTTTTGTGTGTAGGTGTGAGCCCCCCTAGGAAGGGGCTGTGAACTTCTTATTTACAGAAGAGAAAAAGCAAATGAACCTGCAGCTGACTGATGATGACACAGAGAATGAGTCTAAGAAGGATGCAGGTGCAGTGTTTACTTATTGGCAAACTCACTTCAGAAATTGTCAGAAATGGCCAAAGAAAAATCACCAGCACCCAAGACAGACTGTTGTTGCAGCAGGCTGATCACCAGGTGGGAAGGCTTCTCTTCTCTAGGCCAGGCAGCAATGAGGAGAAGGGTAGAGATCAGGGATCCAGGGTTCCAGTTCCCAGAGATGGGAGCTGCCATCTGGGAACAGTTTGGAGAAAAGCTAAATTAATCATAAGAGGACTTGCCAGTACCAGCTTCCAAGACACTCCACCCATCTGCCCCTAATGCCCACAGCAGATGTCAGAGCTCAGCATCTTGTGAGACCAGATCCTGTTTGAGCTCTCCATCGCCCAGAAGGACAGGCAAGGCGTGAGGGGCAGTAGAGTTTTCTGAACCTGCTGCTCTCAGGCTATGCTTGTACACAGCTGAGTCAGGCCCCAGGATTGCTTACGGCACTATGGCCTGACTTCCTAGATCAGCATAACAGTTCCTCTTAAAATTAAAAAAACTCCTTTGGCCTGTCAGTCATTACAAGTTAATTTCTTGTTTTCCTGTGTTGTTATATATACAATTACTTGTTAAATAATGCAATTACTGTAAGGTAGGGACATATGTGGGACAACTTCTCTCTTTGGCTCATTTTTCTATATTTAAATAGAGTATAATGCAATTTATGAAGTGCAGGGATCACTTCTGAATCTACTTCAGAAGACTCAGTCCACAGGCTGGGCTGGGACTGGCTAATGTACTGGGCATATGACTTGTCTCATGAATTCTTTCATGGGATTTAGACCTATTTTTACCCTTTCTTTTGTCTTTCTCACACTAAAGTAATGCAAGTAAACCCATCATTTGACAAATAAAGTCTGGCAGAACGAAAAGGTCTTAATAAAGGAGCCACAGCTGCAGGGCTGGTTGAAATGTGGTGATGTGGGTGCCAGCTGGCCAGTCTTCCCCTCACATAGGTCTGAATGAACAGCCAAACTGCAAGCTCCACATCATACGTCAATACTAGGTGACACCCAGGAAGGGTACAAAATTTCAGGTCAACAGCCTGGAGCCCTAAATGGAAATAGACAGTAAGGAAAGAAGGCAGTAAAAGCAGTGACAAGGAATGAAAAGGAAGATTCAGGGAAGAAAAAAAATATGTATTACACTATTAGCCAGAAATTATTTTGGCAAAATCACACTTCATTATTCTTTATGCATTTATTCCTCTTAAAAAGGATTTTTCCAAATTCTCCTTCTCTCTAACTATGAAATAAATTATGAATTGTGGGCAAGAGAAGCTGTATCGCTCCCAGTGAGTCTAGTTACACTCAGTCCCAACACACAGTACCATTCAAATGCTTTCTTTTCTGCCATTCAGGAAGAGTACTGCAAAGCATTCCCAGTCTGATCACGAAGTCAGCCAACAGTGCCTGGGGAAGTGTGAGTCAGATCAAGAGAGGCAGGTTTGGCTTGTACACTTGTGGAAAAATGGGATGAAGATGAAAAATTTTCTTTGGCTGGTGGGCTTAGATATTGAGAAAGGGGAGAAAGGCCGCTTGTGAGAGAACAAGACCTAATGTGGGATAACTGTGAGTTCCTTGCACATGGGCTGAAGAATTTGAGGAGAGCTTTTTCCAACACTTCTAAGCACCAGAGCGAGCCTATCCCCACACTAGGGCCAGCACCACATGCATACAATGTTCAGGGAGTGGTGGGCACAAAGCAGAGATGCATGAGGAGTACATCAGCAACGTGCTGAAGAGGGGCTTCAGTGAGAGGAGTGGGAGATCTATCACACCAGGGAGTCACATCTCTGCTGGGCTTGCATTGACAAACTGAATCTTTTTCATGGAAGACTAGAATGAAGAGATGCCAAATTCAGTGAGTCTTAGGAGTCTGTGTCTCTGGCTGATGCCTCAGCAGAGAAGGCCACACAAGCCCCTGACACTGACCATGGGGTTGAAGCTGAACTTTTTCTGATCATCTGCCTCATTTTGCCCATTTCTGAGTGCCCTTACAGTCAGAACTGTACCTACTAACTGGTATGTATTCAAAGTGGAGACCAAGGACACAATCCTGCCAGAATTGTGACAACCACATGTAGTCTGGCAATTTGATAAAGGCAGAGGCGGGAATGAATTTCCCCTTAAGAGCTCTCCCTTTGATGTCAAGTATCTTCCTTCAACTGCTCTCTATATATCACAGCTATTTCTTTGTTCCTTTTTCTCTCCTCTAGTCATTAGTAGCCTACACTGCCAGCCCAGCCCACTTGTCTGGGCATCAGGAGCAGCTATCTGAAACCAGGGATGGGACTGCAGCCCTGTTTGTGCACTCCTGATGAAACACTGCATAGCGCTTACGGTCAGCACACCATGTGTTTGCCACAACCATCCTAAACTTTTCTTATGGCTCTCCTCTTATTTTCTGCCTCATGATGTCAGTCCTGTGGCTAAGAAAGTCATTTTTGTAACAGTAGGATTTATCCATAATTTAGGATGAGAACTTTCTAACTTGTTGTAAGTGGAAGCAAAATCCAAAAACATAAGAATGCAAGAACAAGGACTGTTTTGTTAGAGGCTTCAAACTGAACTGGAAAATGGCTTTGATGAGAAGGGAATTTGTCTTGAGGTCAGACCACTGGATGCATATAACAGCATGGAGAAATATGAGCTCTAAGTATGGGGTTTGATGAAGGAAATCCAAATGACAGGTTTTTGCGGAAATACAGCCTGCAGCTGCACTGATATGTCTCACTGCAGCTGTGTCAACAACACCCAATGGCCAAGATGAGAATGCTGGGATCCTTCCTGCTGGTTGTAAGCCAAAATGTTCTGAGCTGCCCTACCTCTGCTGTCAATATCAGCTGTGTTCTTCAATTAAGATAAAAAAAAAAAAAAAGATGAAAATGTTTTTGCCTGATGTCAAAAATTCTCAATTACACCAAAAAAAGTTCACTCACATTGCAGACTGGTGAGAAGCTGCAGCAAGTCACTGAATGCCAAATGGAGAAGCAAGGAGGATATATTAACGCCTGGAGGTGTGGGATAAAGGGATTGGAAGAACCAGGGGATGATAACCCCTAAAGAGTAAAACTGTACTGTTGTTGCACAGTGTTACTTATTTTATTAAGTTGGTTAATTTATTTAAAAGAGGAGGGAGAACACTTAATGCACCAGGCATCAATATACTTTTTCTCTGTAGATCCTGGAAAGGCCTTTGCAGATGCATGCAGGCTGATGGAGGTGTTGCTTGTCTTACACTTTATTCAGAACTTGTCCAAATCTTTTATAAATCTGAACCACGATGGTCTAGGACTCAAGGTGTCAAAGTCACTGTTAGTGTTAGGTGGTGAGTAGCCAGTAACAGTGGAGCCACTGTTCTCAAGAACAGTAGGAATTTTAGGCCTCTCTCAGGGCTGGAAATCATCACTGAGTACACAGTGTGGGAGAAAAGGTCCTGTATCTTCCCCATTGGAACTCTGAACATCCATAAGGTTTGTAATCCTCTGCACAGGAAAAGTTTTGTGAGGTTACTGATGGCCTTTCATAGAGTAACCCCCAAAAGCAACTGGGTCACAAGTCCTCAGTGCTTCTAATGCATACAGGGTCACAGATAGGGGAGGAAGGACTGGTATCCCACTCTGGCTTCTGCATAGGAATGTGCTACACTCACCAATGGACAGGCCCAAGATGCCTGCACTGAAGCTGGGACCTGAGCCTGCATCTCCAGGTTGGCACAAAGTAACAGAAAGTCCTACCCACTCAAAACCCCTCCAAGAAAACAGCTCTTTTATGTGCAATTCCCACAACCATGGCTCTGTCACATCCCCTGATCACAGTCCTGCTCAAGACACACAGTGCTTCCTAAGGTTTGAAGGAAATGCCCAGCGTCTGTTGAACTAAGAGAACTATCCTCTTTGTTAACCTTGCAGTAATGTTTTTGCATGTCTCTGTTTATCTTTTTGTCTTCCCAGTCCAACACAACCATCACCCATTTAGTTAGAAGAAAAGTACATTTTGATAGAAGGAGCCATATGCATAACAGAGATGCTTTGAGAGAATTCCTCCCTTCAAGAACTGGTATCCAATCTGACATAGTTTGTAAGTCAGAATTATTGCTCATCGAGTTCAATCATCTGAAAGAAAACAAATTCATTCCATTAAGATTTTAACCAAATAGCAGCTGTTCCCATGCAAAACCATTCACATTCTGAAAGTCATGATATTTTGTGCTGTCCTACTTTTAAAAAGTACAAGCTTCTGAAAAGCAGAAGTGTGCATGTAATGGCAGTCTGGTGAGTCTGGAACTGCTATCTTCATTAGCACATGTAACAATAATTACCATAACTAAGTCTTTCCACTTAATGCTTAGCCAACGGAAAAAAATATTTTGGTCAGGAACTTTCATTCTCCAATATGACATGGGGAAACTTTTCTAAATAAAGTAAGGGAATAATGCAAGACTTTCAGATATGAATTGGTAGGAATATTCCTTTGATCTGAAACTGGGGTATGCAAAATGCATTTTGATAGGCCATGGGATTTGCGTTACACTGAAAGAAAAGATTCTTGGCCAAATGCCTCTTGATTCACTGAAGACAAAACCCCATGTGAAACTGATGGCTCTAGGGCTTTATTCCTGTTAGGATGGATACAGGGTTAAACACACCTATTAAAACACAGTAATTACTCCTTGATATCCGGGGTATTAAGAAGACAGTAAAGCTGATACATTCTTTGGACTCATCCTTCTTATCCTCCCTTTTTTCCTTCCAAAACATCTCCAATAACTGCCTAAACACAGCAGGAGCTGAATCCATTGCCAGTTTGCTTTTGGATAACATGTCCTACCTCAATAGTCTTCAGCTCGGGGGGGGGGGGTGGGCTGTATGCATACAAACAGTGATGGCAGTAGAAGTGAAATAACATGTGTTTCATTCCAGTCTCTCCCCCTGAGAATATTACTCAGACTATGAGCAAAATCAAACTCTCAGCTATGTCACTGATGGGAACCCAGAGTAACAGTGAAAATCTAGACTTACAGAAATGTGATTAAATATTTAGCCTGTTCAACTTTCAGCATCTCTGAAAACCAGACCCTCAAGAGAAACTTAGATAATTACTGGAGCATCTCCCACATCTTAGGGTAATTCTACATTATGGAGCAAAGTAAAATAATGACTAACTTCTCTATTGGGTCTGGCTGAGATGGAGTTAGTTTTCCCCATTGCAGTCCTCATAGTGCTGTAATTTGTATTAGTAGCTAGAAAGGTGTTGATAAACACAGCAGAGTTTTGGCTCTGCACTGTCTCTCCAACATCCCCCCTCACCATTAAGCTGAGAGTGGGAAAGATCTTGGAGGGTACCTAGCCAGGACAGCTGATCCAACTTGACCAAAGGGATATTCCATACCATACTCCATCTACTCAGCTATAAAAGCTAAGAGAAAGGCGTGGGAGGGGAGGGGAAGGGAGGGGAGGGGGGACAGGAAGTGGTGGCACATTTGTTATTACAACATTTGTCTTTCAGAGCAATCACTATGTGTATTGAAGCCTGACTTCACAGGAAGTGACTGGACATCACCTGCTGATGGGAAATAGAGAATAAATATTTTCCTTTGCTTCAGTGTATGGTCTTTTCTTTTACTTTATTAAACTGCCTTTATCTTGACCTACAAGATAGGTTTTTTCTATGTTATTTTCTCCCCCGTCCTGCTTAGGAGGAGAGTGACAGAATGTCTTGGTGAGCACCTGATGTTCAACTAAGGTCAACCCACCACAACTTCTTACAGCTAGATATGGACTATGATGAACTGGAGATTCTGCCTAAAAGCACAGTTTTCTGCAGACTCCAGCACAGCACCAAGGGATAGATCAGTGCATTGTTAACGTACTTTTTTTCCCCAGGAAACAACTTTGGAGAGGAGACTGCACCATACTTTACTTAGGCATTAATGGTGAGTTACCTGAAATCCAGGGTCATCTGCAGCCCTGGCTGTGTAACAGACCTTTCTTATCTTGAAGCTGCTACTCACTTGGCATGACTTCACTTGGCAATGCCCACATGATTTCCTGGCATAATTCCGCTAAGTGCCTCTTGCTTAGTTCAGAAATGAGAGAGGTTGGTAGGAGACAGAGCTGGATGAACTGCACTAACATTTTTTCAGGGCAGCTGCATGTGTCTGTCTGAGAAATAAACCTTCAGAACTCTCTTAGAGAACGCAACTTCATAACATTTTGCAATTCTTCAGTAAAAATAAGAGGCTTGACTTCTCTGGTTAGTTACTATCTCAAAGCCTCTGCATTGTTTGGCACCTTCAGCAGCTGCCCTGAAGCAAGGCCTTGCCCTGATATCAGAGAGGGCTCTTGGTCAAGGTGCAATGGTGGGAGTAGAACAGGGGCAGAAAGAATTACAGGACATGTTGCAGGTCACATATGAGCTGTATGAGAGAAGTTTGCACAACACAAAATTCCATTGCTTTTGCCATTTTAGGAGGATAATCACTGTGATGTTATATGTCTGTTTGGGGACACACAGTGCCACAATCTCTGTGCTGCTGATGTCCCATACACTGAAGATTTCAGTGTCTCTGATATCCCTCTATTTCATCTTCATTTGGGGGCCTTGGTATGGCATCTGTTTGCAGCTGGCTGGAAGATCACATTGTCTCTGCACATTTGTCTCTCTGCAGGGCAATTACCAAGTGAAGGAGCTGAACCTTAGCCACAAGGAATTCTCTGGGAAAGGAGAACAGCTCCTGGGATAGATGCTCGGTAACTTCATTTATTAATCCTGCAAAGCCAGGATGTTGTGGTTTAGGAACAGAACTCCAAACCCAGGTTGCTCCTCTCCCCTGCTCCAATGAGAGAGACAAAAGGCAGAGATTATGGGTTGAGATATAAACAATTTACTGGAAACAACAATGAGATAAGAAGTAACAGCAACAATATTAATTATAATATACAAACTATACAAAAAAGAGTGATTTACATGCAGAAAATGCTCACTGACTGACTCCAGAACAATGAACAACAGAGCCTCCATACCTAAGCTTTTTCCTGACTGCAAGCCACACCCACCTTCTCAAAATCAAGATTCCCTTCTGCCCCAGCAGTGATGCGAGGTGGTATAGAATAACAACCTGGACACAAACACATCCTCCAGAGTCTTTCCCCGTCACAACTACTGTGAAAAAAATTAACTCTGTCCTGGCCAAAAACCAGGACACAGGAGTACAGGTACTGGGGGACTTGATGGAACATGTATTTCCTTCTCTAGCAAAAATGCCCCATGACCTAGTTTGTACTACAAAAGCCAGGACAGCCAGATTCAGAGCTTCCTGGATGGTCCACAGACTCACCTTCATCACCAGAGGTGACTCTAGCAACAGTGACTAATGTATGAGAACACACATGCAGGATGAGAACACACATGCAGGATGAGAACAGAGCGGTCTGTCACAGAGAAGGGAGACAAAAAAGAAGTCCCTCAGAGCATGTAAAGCAGAAAATTGCACTCTACTAAAATCTCATAGGATCAGAACTGTTGTTCATTTTAAGCTTCTGATTACGAAGTTCAGGAGCTATTTCAGTTTTTCTTAAGTAGCCCAAACCCTAATGGTTTTAGCCATTGCACAGTAAACAGCAAGAGAAAGAGATTAGGAAGCAATAAAATTAAGATGCCTAACCTAGCTGTTCAGACAAAGTGAGATCCAGAGTGAGCTAATAGCCCTTGAAAGGGAAAGCAAACAAAACAGTATTTCAGTAATCTCAGGTGCTATTACTACACTGTAAAAGACTTGCATGAATATCTGAGGGCTCTTCTTCCCCCAGTATGTTCAACAGACCTGCTACCATAATGGCCACAAGCATGTGCTGTGAGCATCCAGTGTTCCTTGAGCGTTGCAGTAACATGATGCCTTTAGTTTAATTAATGCTTTCCTTCTCCTGGTTCAGTATTTCTATTGATATGTATCTCTTTCTAATAAAAATCCACATCTTTGAAATATGGATCAATTAAAATTAAAGTGGGGGCAAGGCACTGTGCCCCTGCTTGAACAAGCCTGCAGGCAACACAGAGATCAGTACTAAAACTTGTGACCTTCCTAGTCTAGAAAAATGCCTCTCCAAAATTCAAGGTTTTACAGCTCTTCTCTCGTTACAGCTCACTTGAACAGGAGCAGCAGAGATTACTGCAGAATCAGTTTCTTTTCTGTTTTGTTTCTTAGAGGAATATTTTTAAGTCAGCTAAATTCACCATCTGTCTCCATCCAAACTCCCATACATGGAAAATTTGGATGAGAAATTGTCTCTGAGAATGAGAAACAAGTGTTGGCAGCAAGTCCTCTCCCTCCCTGTGTCACAGTAGACACAAATGAATTCACACATACCCTGCTCAAAGTAGAACTTACTGTGAGGTGTGCAATGCATGTGAATTGGCATTGGCACTGGCACATATACAGCTGGGCACAGCTACCATATGAAACTGAATTCCTCTCCTCTGCTAATCAAACATAAGCAGAGTGAGTCTTGATATTTTAGATGTGGCAGGGAGAATCCAGCCATTTTTCACAGTGAGAAAAACAGGCAGTGTCTATTAATATAAGAAATCCTCCCTCTCTCTATTTTCCTCCTTCACGATGTAAATCATTTGCTAAGAATTTATTCAAGCACAGGATAAACTATAATTTCCACAACAGGGCAATGCCACAGCACTACCTAAAGTAGAGGAGTATTATCAAGTCCTGGAAAAATAATGCCAAAACTGTCTTCTAGGAATTGAGGGATCAATAATCCTGGAAAGGGCAAAACTAAACAACCAGCCAAGATGGCTTCAGAGGTTAGGGTTGACAGCTAACATGTCTTCTCAATCCAAGATCAGACTCTAGGAATTCAGCTCAGTAAAGTCAGCTTGCTTGTGAGCTGCATTCTCGGGTAGATCTAATATCACCATCCTGAGAGTCTGCAAATGGCTTGAGGGGAATCTCTAAAGCTGTAAGCCTGTCTCTGAACACCCCTGTCCTTGTAAATCACTGCAACTACATCAGTCATTGGGACTGCTGTAAATAAACATGTCTGTCTGCCTTGCTCTTAACCTGGCTTGAGGTAAGGTCACTAGCTCACACCAAGGCATTCCTCTCTCTCCGCAGCCATACAGATTGTCTTAGGAGCTGATAGCACAAAGGACTTAAAGGAGGACGTGTCTTCTGCTGGCCAACAGTAACAAAGGAAGTTTTCTTTATAATAGTGGGAATGGAGACTGTACATGAAGTCCAAGGTGGGGGAGAGATGATATTCACACCGTAAAAGATGCACTTGGCAATGCCAACCCTGTAATGCCAGACAGCCAGACCTTGTAGGCCGGAGGCAGACAAGCAGCCTGAGCTCTGATCTGCTGTGCTGCCAACAGGAACCAACAGTATGGGAAATGTCCCGAGGCGCACACAACCATCCAGAGGGATGCTACTAGCAAGCACACTAGCTACAGCAATGGGCTGCCTCAGCCTCTCCCCATCACATGACTGAACATGATCCACATTACATCCTCCTGCATGACAGATGCAAGGGACATGATATGTGGAATTTCACACAAGGAGACAGAGAGAAACTGAGAAGGTAACTCCACTTGGAAACTGCATTGCAAACTTTCGTGGCACAGAGACAAGAGATGGTGAGGTAACAGACAAACCCCTTGAAAGGGACCACAGTTTTTCTACACCTCTACTGAAGAATGGGAAGAAAAGGTACTTATAGATTCACCACATTTCACTCTCATCCATTTTGTAACAGCAGAACAAGAACAAGAAGTGAATTCCCACTGGAGGATGAATTCTCTTCATCCCCTGAGCTGTCTTCCTCCAGGGTAGCCTAAGATTCTGTGAAGTGCTTTGATACTCTGTCAGTCTGTGTGAGGAATAGGAAGATAGATGCTTCAAGGCATTGAAAGCAAGGCAGTTCTATTAAAAAAAAAACACACACAAAAAACCAAGCACCAATAAAAAAAACCCCAAACAAATCAAACATTAAAAGGCTGATGAGAAAGGAAAAAGAGATCAAAGAGGCCAAATCTTAGTATGCTACTCTGTAGCAAGGCTGGAGATAACACATGTTGTTGTAACCTCATATGCTGCTTCTGAAATGCTCCTGAGCGAGAGCAGGGATTGTGTTGCAGACCAACAGAGTGGAGAGACCCAGTCACGCATCAATCCAGTCCTGGGACTTCCATGCATGCACTGATTCTTCATGGGAGCAGTTACAGAAGGTGTCAGGGACCTCAAGGCCCTCCACCCACCTTTGGGAGCAGCATGATTAAAGGAAAGAGCATTTTTACAAAAATTAGATTTGGGTCATAAATAATATGTTCATGCTTGGAACAGGGTAAAAGTAAAGTTCACAAGCAGTTTTAGACACTCATGTAATGGGTTGTCTCTAAGTTACTTCTGCATGTGTTCTTTGTCCTGTGGTTACTATATTAAAGAAAGAAACTAAAAATAAGCAGAATAAATAATATTCACCTTTAGTCTTTCCTGAGAGTATTGTGTGCTTTCAACAGAGATCATCTGAAGAACAGGCATTCCTCTAGGGTAGAGATTTTTTCCTGCATATATTAAGATCAAAGAGAATTATTTTCCAAGTCTGCAAGGAGTCAGGCCTCATTCTGCAAAGGAAAACTAAATCGGGCTGTATGGGGGTAAAGGACTGCATTACAGTAGATGTGGTTCTTCTAGTTTTATTATGAATAACCTAAACAATTAATAAAATTGGAAAGAGTAATAAATTTTAGCTAAAAGCTGATAAATTAAAAGGAATTATTGAAATGCATTCATTTAAGAGGAAGCACTCAATAAATTTTGAGGCCAGGAGTTAATCTGCAATCCAACCTAAATCTCACTACGAATTTCTGCTTTGAAGGGTAAAGAGTTATTCTCTTCACCTCACTCTTGAAAAAGGCTAAATTACTTGGCATTTCACAAGATAAATGGTCAATGGCATAAATTTACAATGACATTTCAGTATCCCAATCAAATGCTTGTGGGCAAACATCTAATTTGTCTGCCAGACTTCATTCCACATGTGATGTAGGAAGTCTTGAATTTCAACTCAGAATAATTGTAAATATAGAGGGTCAATGACCTTACATTGTCTTAAACCTTTGAGAAATTAGTAAAGGTTTTAATCTTTTACAGGAAACTTAAGGGAAGATATAAACTAAAGCTTCTTCTGCCTCTTTTCTCAGGGATAAATGCTTACCTTCACTTTCAAAGAATGAATAATTATTGTGTCTATAAGAAGTATATGGAATAAGGATCATATCTAGAAACCTTTCCATGGGTTTGACAGCACCAGCAGTGGCAAAGTAATAGAAAGGCACATTTTTAACAACAAGCTTATTCCTTCTGACAACATTTCTAAGCATGACTGTTCCCCACATTCTTTTCATAATCTACTCCTTATAGGGTTCCAGCTTGCAGATACTGACAATCAAACATTTTTTAAAAGTGCTGAATCAAAATAGCCAGCACATGCTCATCGTCTGCATCACAGTACAAAAGAAATTAACTGTTGCTTTTCAGCTGTCTGTGTGTTTTTTTTCTGGACCGGACTGACTGTGTCAAACATGCAGAAATGCTCCCTCCAGGTGCTGCCCAATCCCAGCATGGTTCGCTAGGCCAGACATGGTGCTTTGGCTACACTGCTTCTGAGGTGGCACTGGCAGTCCACTGGCTTTGTCATGGGCTCAAGCCAAGCTGGCAGCCCTGGAGAGAGCTGGCATCCAGCAGAGCCAGCTTGGGCTTTCCTGTGCTGCATTCCCAGGACTAGGTCACTCTCCTAGTGTGCATGGTGCAAGGATGTCTGAAAGGCTTCTTCAGAGAGCCACTCTGCATCCATAAAGCCCTTGGTGCTGATTGAAAGCTAGTAAATCCAGCTGGACCCAGACTGGTTCAAGACTGTTATTGAGTAGTGACAGTCAGGAGCTCACTGCACAGTAGATGGATCTTAAGGACAATGGATTTTAAGTTTCTAAAAAGAAGATGTAAGAATGCAGTGGGACACTTTGTAAATTAACTTTCAGAAAACAATACAGTGCTTGATGCTGTGGGAACCTCCCACAATGACAGAAACAGAAGCTGAATTTCCTGATCTGACTTGAAATTTCCAACAAATAAGCATATCACTAACATCAATACATGAACAATTCCCTTGTCATCATGGGTATGAACAAAATCAGTCATGTCTTTAAAATCAATCAAGGCAAATGCACATTTGTCATAACTTAAATTTAGAAGAATAATTTACAGTGACATCAATACTATTTGCATTGATAGCTTACTTTCTAATACTCCAAACCCCTAAATTGGGACACTGTGCTGCTCCCCATTCAGTAAATATTAAAACAGAAAACCTACAAAGTGAGCTCTGAAATGCTGAGCTGTCACTACCCTGTTTGAAATTCTTAGGAAAAAACAAATATCAGGTCTTCTACTGCTGACTGGAGCTTCCTCTTATTGTTTACACACTGAAAGAGAGCTTTGCCAAAAGTTCTTTTCATCTGGAGACACCTGGACCCTTCCCAGATAGGATCATCTTTCTTGCCTGGGCTATAAAGCTACATTGCTGGAGATCCTTTAAGGTCTTGGGTGATTTTTTTTTTTTTTTCGTTTTTGCAGAGCTCTATGGCACATTTAGGCCATTAACTGTTCAACTTGCAATCTGTGTCTTAACAGAATGGAGAGAACTGTCTCAGCGATGAACATGAATTACTTGAATCACCAAAAATAAGAGATCTTCAGTGATGACCACCTACCTTGTAGTAAGCTAATTTCTGCATAAATTAGTAGATCTTTCTCTTTCAGACATGGAAAAAGAGAAAGATGAACACTTATTTAGGGCTGAACTTCCATGGGATTCCTGAAAGCAAAGAGCAGAGATAGCAGAAGTATCTCCTACAGCATCTGTAGGGGAGAATTATTAATGTATTTGTGAATACAAGAAAATCTTTGTTGTTCTCTGGGTGTCCATGCTGAGTGCACTTTCCTTGCCCCTATGTGCCAGAATGAGTTGGTAAATGAAACTTTCATCAAGTTGCGGGATTTGATGAGTCAAATGCATCCTGAACTAGATATCATCTACAGTGAGGTCAAACTCTGTATCATCAAGATCCCCAACAGTATCCAGATCCCATGGAAATGATTCAGGTGAGCTACTGAATTTGGATCCTTAGCTGCCTGTACACAGTACACATGCTCCAGACACTTGGAGGGATGGTGGCTGAAAGGTAAGCTTTCTTTCAAGTCAGAAATTCAGCCAAGTTCCTTCAGAAAAGTAAATTTACAAAGACAGTCACAACATTCACATATCTCAGTTCACACAGGCTGACTAAGCAAATCCTTTGCTTTTCAGCAGAAGCTATTGCCTTGGGATCTGAGAGCACTGGGGGGTGAGAAAAGGAACAGGAATAGATATTTGCTTGCTGTGTAAAACACATTAATTAATTTCAGGCCTGATCCAAATTAATGTCTATTCCTCATCAAAAGCCCACCACAACAGCTGAATTTCATGGAACACGTCACTGAGAGTTGTGCTTTAGCATCAAAAGTAATGTACTTCATAGACGTAGGATATGGTATTACAAGCAAATACTGTCCTAAATAGACATTACTCAGATTTTGGAGGTCTGCAGTTTTCATGGATAGCAGCAGATGGTGCTGTCCTCCTTGCTGGAAGCCAACAGAAGCACTTGAGCATTGCTGAGCTAACATAACACCATTACACTACTAGCTTTACTGTGTTTCTTAACTGCTGAGCAGATTTTCAGCTAATTGGATGAGGTCTTGCTGTAGATAAGGGTTGGGATGAACTTAAGCAAAAGCTTGGGCTGTTAGTTCACATCAAACAGTGCTGCTGTGCTTCACAGCTAGTGACACTTGCACTACCATACTTTGCAGTTTTTAATAGCCATTGTGGTATTCAGCATGTCCTCATTCAAACAGAGATGGAATTCAGAGAAGAGCAACTAAAGTGATTAGAGAGCTGGGGAAGAGAACTGTCTCGATTAGACAGCCTAACCAAGTGGCTACTGGGATGAAGACCAAATGACCATATGGAATTATCAGAAAAAAAACAGGTTTACTACTGAGTCTCGTTTCAAGACAGGAAGAGAAGAAGGTATAACTGAGAAGAATGGGATTAACCTGAACAAAAGGACTTTGTTCTGACAATATGGTGATTGTATAAGGAGTAAAGAAGTCACATCTCTGAGTGATGGGCTGAGTAAAGGCAGGGTGACAGATGGAAGAATAAGGGGAGAGCAGGTATCAGTGGCTGTTTCATGGTTATGCCCATGCTTTATCTCTGCTTCTATTAGAACTACTTGAAAGAGCATAACCTAAAACTATGAGACTTTTTTAGGAATATTGATGAGAATGGAAACATGAAGATTCCTGTGGCAGCCTTCTGGAATGCCATGATGCAGGTGTGCCTCCGAAAGCATGGCCAGAATCCTCTTCTGTCAGGGTATTGCTCTAGAACTCCCCTGCTGCAGCACAGCCACTAGCCAGCCTTTCTGGTGACATTGTTCAGGCTAAAAGGCTAAATTCACTCATCACAAAGTTAAGCCTTGAATGAGACCAATAGATGTGCTGTGGCACACAATAAATACTGCAGATGGCACCAGTGATAATGGACAGGCATCCACTGTTTGTATATGATATACAGGATATTGATAGATAGTTATGTCTTACTGCTATGGGAAAGGGAAAAAACAAGCATCTAAACCCTCACCTGTACTGTTGAAAAGACACTTCTCTTCCTGACAAAACCACCATGGTGCTTGGAATCAGTAGCAATGGTCAGCCAGCCATGATGTTCTTTTACCAAAAAAAAAAAAAAAAGGTGAAATTGCCTCCTCACCACCACTCTGGATTTTTTGCATCCTTTCCACTATGCACCAGGCCATCTGTTCACCTATTAAAAGATGGCCAGGCCCCAGTCTGATATGGAGGATTTTTCTGCTTAAAATGACCCAGGTTTCCTAGCACTTCTCTTCTTCTCTTAGCAACAAATCATCCCACTGGATAAAGTCCAAATTGGGAAAACTAGTGCAAAATCTAGACCAGAATCAGACAACAGTTGTGGATTATAGGTATGTGAGTGACTCCATTTACTGTCCTGGTTTGTCTTTAATTTTTCTTTAATTTGGCTCAACACCAAATAAATATAACCTTTTCCACCTTAGGATGTGAAGGGACATATTACTTACCTTAATAAAAGGTAGATGAAAAAACACTTTGTATGCTTAGAAGTTCTGTTGAATCAAACGAGAAGTTAGTCTTATTTTCCTATTTGATAAACTTGCTGTGAGAATGCAGAGATGTCAGAGCTGAATGGCATTTTCATTCATTCTCATTAGCCTGTGTGAGAAGCATCAGCTCAACACTGTCCTCCCCCTGAAGCCAGGATAAGATTTGCAACGACAGCATATCTGTGCCTTCAGAACTTTTCCTCCATCCTCAGGGACTCTTGTTTTTTTTTTTTACTTCTCTCTGATCCCTCTTCTTAGGAGACCTAGTTTTCCCTGGAAACCTGCCTTCAAACTACAGAACTTTTCATTCTCTTGAAAGTGCCTCTTCCTTAGTGCCTGTAGCAATCGTGTCCAAGTTCTGAGAGCCTGAGCATTCAGCAGCAAACTCCTCAGAGGCTGTCAGTCGCTGCAGGCTAAACTGCTTGTCACCGGACCCAAAATTCCCCCTAGATTTTCAGTCAATTCTGACATATGACTCATCAGCTGAAAGCCCTGTTTATTGTGCCCAAATATTTCCATCCTCAGCACATACTAATTGGTTTAAGTATATGCTGTAGTCTAGTTTTAAGGCTAGAAGCAATGGGTCGGTTTTGCTCTTAGCCTACTAATGTTTTCAGAGACAAACAAATTATTCTGTTGGGTTTGGTCTTTATTCCTTTGCATATATCAGTGCCATACTAAAAGCACCCATGCTCAGGTGCTAGATGTGCCTTAGCCTGGTTAATCTTCAATCAGAGGTTACATGGAGTTCCCAAGTACTTCAGGCACAACTTACACAACTATGGTTAAGCAGTAAGCAGATGAAACTGTTGAAACCCAGCGGCTGGTAAAGACTTCATCTGGTGCCATTAATGTGGCTGAGTTGATATACGGGGAATAGTAGATAAGCTTATCTAGCTTTTGATGGATTTTAGCACTATAGCATGTGTGAAGTGGTAAAATTCACCTTGCAGACAAGAGTCAGAAGATTTGTCACCTTTGCTGTCCTTACTGTTCCCACCTCAGGCTGCTTCCTCAAGATCCTCTCAGAAGCTTTAAGATACCTGACAGAGAAGGTTCACTTTACTAGGTTAATACTGGTTTACCTCCTTCTTTTCCATAAGTCATGCAGAAGAGCAGACAGCCAGCACAGAACTCGTGGAAGGGGAAATTGAGGAAGAAGATAAGGAAAAGCCATAAAAATGAAGCAAGGAGGGAGGTCAGACAATGCAAGATTGTGTGAGAACCACTGAAAGAAAGCTCAGAGTACCTCTGGCCTTGGGGAGGCCCAACACTGGGGAGCTCTGATAGTCTAGGTTATTGCAGAAATAAAGTTGATGTTGCACTACACAGCAGGTCCCTATATAGTCTGGTCCTTTTCTGTTAAGGAAAGACTGGTCCTTTGGACCTGGTTACCAAATCTTTCTCTGTATGCTGACAGTGATGAACTTACTTGCAAAGACTAAGGCAAAAAATGGGAAATAGGAAACTATGATACTCATGCATTATCTCTTTTTGAGGTAATGCACACAGACAAAGACTGAAGCAAGGGCCCTGCAGTCATCTCCAATCAACTTAGGAGATCTGGACACAGGGACCTTTGTAAGAGAAGAAAAAAAACAAACTTCATGAGAAACTATACCTCATATTGCTTAACAAGTTATTGGTGATAGAAATTTTGTCTAATATCCCCATGAGAAAAAATATGCTAGAAAGATGGAAGACAGATTTTTAAATGACTTAGATACTGAACTTTTTTTAAACCAACATTAAAAGATATATTTCAATATCTCTTAAGAAGGAATTAAAGCCTTGCATATATTAGTATTTATAAAAAAATAGAATCTTCAAAATGTAAATATGTATAGGAAGTACATTTTGCCATATGAGCAACTGCCAACATAGAGTATAAACCAAGGACTTTGGAGAACTGGGGAATGTTGGCCACTTTGGGAAAATCAGCCTTCAGTGAAAAGGAAAAGAAGCTAGTTGCAACATGGTAAGTCTCTTTTTCCCAATGGAATTCCAATGTGGAAAAAAATCTTTAAAATACTTTGAAAATCTATGACAAGAGTTCACATGGCTCCAGTGCCTAACCAGAGGTCAAGATGACTGTTGGCATGATGGTATTGCTATGCCTGCTCAGTAGTCACCTTCAGAAGGCTTCAGCTCATTACCCCAGGAGATCTGTGTCCTCTGATGCCTGTGACTCTTCCAGAATTCACTTGTGATTGCAGTCAGTGCCCCCACAAATGTAGGGGTTTGAGATGAAGAATCAGAGCATTAGAAATGCTGGGCAGTTTGCACATGCAGGGATATAGCACTGTGGGGTTTCTGTTCTTTTCCTAATCATGCCTGAAATGTAATTAGTGTTTCTTGACTACTCCTAAGCACTCGTGTACATTTTCATAGAAGCTGTTGTGTTTTCATCCCAGCCAGCAGCCAAGCCCCACACAGCCACTCATTCACTCACACACCAGTGGGATTGGAGAGAGAACTGGAAGGGTAAAAGCTGGAAAACTCATGGGTTAAGATAAAGACAGTTTAATAGGGAAAGCAAAAGCCACGAACACAAGCAAAGAAAAACAAAGAATTAATTCAGTGCTTCACATGGGCAGGGAGGTGTTCAGCCATCTCCATCACACGTAATGGTTACTTGGGAAGACAAACAGCATCCCTCCAAACCGCTCCATTCCTTCTTTCCCCCCTCCCCCCAGACTGATATGCTGAACACGATGTCATATGGTATGGAATATTCCTGTAGTCAGTTTGGGTCACCTGTCCCAGCTGTGTCCCCTCCCAGCCTCCTCGCCAGTGTGGCAGAACGAGAAGCAGAAAAAGCCTTGGATCTGAGTAAGCCCTTCTGAGCAGTAACAATAACATCTCAATATTATCAACCCTGCCTTCAGCACAAATCCAAAACACAGCCCCATACTAGCCACTGTGAAACAAATTACCTCTATCTGGCCCAAGCCAGCATAGAAGCGTACACCAAACCTGCAGGACCTTACTGCTGATCCGTGGGGGCGGAGAGGGCAGGAGAGCGGCCGGCGCCCCTCACTGCACAATTGGAGCTCGCTCCCTGCTCAGAACACGCACTGACCCGGCGCTCAGGGGAGCGCAGCCCCGGGGCCCGGCCGTGCCCGCGTCGCCGCCAGGTGTCAGCGCAGCCCCGGCCGTGCCGCGCCCGCCCTGCCCGCCCGCGGGCCCCGCACGCCGCCGCTCGGCGGCCTCCCGGAGCCGCTGAGCGGGGAGTCAGCGAATGGCCTGGGTTGGAAGCGACCTTAAACATCATCTAATTTCTGTTCCAGGGCCTCACCACCCTCAGAGTAAAGAATCTTTCACTAATATCTAAACTAAACCTATTCTCTCGCAGTTTGAAACCATTCCCCCTTGTCCATGTCACTTATAAAAAGTCCCTCTCCAGCTTTCTTTTAGGCTTGCTTCAGGGTCCTGGAAGACCACAAGTAAGTCACCCCAAAACATTCTCTTCTCCAGACTAAACAAATGCAATTGTCTCAGCCTTTCCTCATAGGAAAGGTGCTCCATCCCTCTAATCAACTTGATGACCTTCCTCGGGACTTGCTCTGACAGGTCCATGTCCTTCCTGTGGCGTGGACCCCAGAGCTGGATGCAGTTCTCCAGGTAGGGTCTTACAAGAGCTGCTCTTTCCATAACTACTCCTTTGCTGCTTTCCTGTGAAGAACTACCAGCAGGAGCAGAATTTTAACTGTTGTACAACGTTCCTCCAGCATCCTGCTCCAAAGACCAGTGTATCCGTAAGCAGTGACTGTGGCACATTTTATGCTGGACTCACTAGTGGTTGAGGGACTGGAGACACCTGATACATACGATTGTGTGTAATAACTCTGACATGGCCTGTTGGTCCACATGTGCCATGTGTACAGAGAGGTGTCACTGCTACAGGACAGTACGAAGACTCTTGGACCCACTGAACTTTCTACATCTGATCCATAGACCTGAGTGTAGATACTCAGCATTTATGGAGAGGGCTGTTGTTTAAAACATATTATCTTCTAGGATGTTCTTCAGTGGCTCCAAGTCTGTTGATGCAACATTCACCATTTCCTGGCTGTGCCAGTGTAAAATACCTATGCCTCTCTCTCCCCATCAGCCCCAAGAAATCCTTTTTTGAGTCTCCTTTTTTTTTTAGCTTAGGAGGCAGAAAATGAAATACCAACATATGCAGGCTCAGAATTAAGGCCAGGGAGTTGGGAACACCTAATGATTTTGTATTTTACACCAAAAAAAAAAAAAAAAAGAGTAGGGTTTTTTTATGTGACCTGCAACTATTGTTACATAACAGAGAACAAGAATTACAGTATTCCAGATTTTCCTTTAAAATGAGACTCTTGGTTTATCAGCAGGCAGATACTCTATGGTCAGTTAAGCTGGGTCAGAGGTGAGAAGTTTCCAGACTGGAACAACAAGAGAGAACAATGGGATCTTGGGATATCTGATGGCAGAGACTGAAGGTCCTGCTTCACTGTCACTACAGCACTTTTGTTCTGCAGAAAAGGGTACACTGGAGTAGACGAGTTGCACATGTACATACTGTTCAATATCTTTGTCTTTTCTTCCCACAGAGTCTTGGGTTTGTGCTGCATATGTTGCACATGCATCTTTATCTCATGCAGAGTGCTGTTGTGTATTAGTCACGCATTACTATTCAACTTCCATTTGCACAGAATTAGATGCCCAACTAAACTGATTTGTCCAATTATTGCCCTTAAGTTTCTAGATTAGCTATAGCCATCAAAAATCTTCTGTAAGAAAACAACATAATCAAATAGAGATGGGAACTGGCCTGAGGCAGGTGTGGCTTTTATTTATTTGAGTATCCACTTCAACTCCAGACTCTACAATGATGTGGCAGCTAGATGGTACCTTTACATCAGGAAAAACTTGCAGGGCGATTCAATGGTTTCTTTCAGCTAAAGCGTTAAAGCCCAGATTTCTATTCCAGAAAGACTTTATAAATAAAAATTATTTATCTTGCAAAAATAAAATCAAAAGAGAATGGGAAGGAGTTATATGCAACCTTCTATCTTACTATGTGACCTGATGCAACTAAAATACTAGCAAAAAATCGAGAGTGTTAGTGAAAATTTTAATCATATGCAAGCTGTGTGGTGGAGGGATGTAGTTGCAGTTGGTATTGTGCAGAATCTCTCTGAGCATTCTCAGATCAATAAAGCTTTTTTAAGCTTGGTGGCAGCATTTGTCCCCTTGCTGAGAATTCAGGGATAAACTGTGGTAGACACTGAGCAGGGGCGGTTGGGAAGTGGAACATGAATTTCTCTGCTGATCCTGCACCTGTGAAATGGCGCAGAAGGAAATGGTTTGCCTAGCATAAATTAAGGCAGCTCTGAGACTCATCTAACATACCTCAGGAATTCAGCCTGCCAGCACAAAATTAGACAGTGCAGAAAGCTGGCTAAACACTACCTCTGTATCTTCCTTAGCTCATGAGAATGACACAGCCAAGAGACATTGTCAGAACTCTTCAATATTAGAAAGAAAACACTGTCTAAGTAATGTATTTTGAAAACACAGCATGTAACTAGAGTATTTGATGTGTTAGCTAGTTTAGATGAACCTTTGGATCTCTTGCAAGGGAAATCATCTTTTTGTAATGGATCCCATCCAGCAGAATGAGACACAATTCAGACTAATCTCCTAGGCACCACCACAACATTTAGGACAACATATCATTGCATTATAAAGACATAACTAATTAGAATCTCTGGAAATCTTGGAGTAAGTGTAAAGACTAATGTTAGATGCCAAACTATCTCACCTTGTTCACACTGAAGATCTTTGATCTGTATAGCTGAACTGACCTACAGATTTTTGGCTTTATTTTCAAAAGAGAAATCTCACGGGCTGCTGAAGTGGGTACAGTGATACTAGTCTTCCTCTTTTAGATCAATAGTTCCTTGTTCCAGTGGCCTCCCATCCATTTAATGACATATCACAAGGTGTCCAGTGTATATCAGTGGACATGCGCCTTATGCAAAGGTGCATCTGCAGCCATGAATGAAATCATGCATCATGAGATTGGGAGCATGCCACATACAAGGTACTGGTCAGTGCTTATGTCTCTCACCTGAATCTCTCACAGTAATGTTACAGAATCTGAAGAGATGATGGAGTGAAAATTTGCAAGGACAAAATTT